TTAGTTTCCATCCATTGTTTCTTGTCCTGCCCTCTGGTACTTTGGAAAACAAATTGACCCCCTCTTCTTTGTAGCTGCCTTTCAGATACTGGAATACTGCTGTCATGTCACCCCTTAGTCCTTCTTTTCTCTAGACCAGCCATACCCAATTTAGATTCGTGTTTCCCCGAAAATAAGACTAGGTCTTATATTATTTTTTTGCTCCAAAAGTTACATTAGGGCTTATTTTCTGGTTAGGACTTATTTTGGGGAAAATACGGTACTGATTGTATCCATCTGGCTGATGATCTTAACTAGGGCTTATTTTTTGGGGGTAGGGCTTATATTATGAGCACCCCAAAAATAATGCTAGGGCTTATTTTCTGGTTGGGTGTTATTTTTGGGGAAAGGGGGTAATTGGACGTCCTCTTCCGGTTGATGAAATGACTAGTTTTTGCCGTTTATAAATCAGAGGGCAGCTGATGTCTTTTAATAGCAATTTCTGAAACAATATGCTTGTGTTTGTGCCACGCTGGCTTTAACGAGGGGCTTCTTTTTGAAATTGCCAGAGGAAAATGAAGAACGTACCATGATAGATCCCACTTCAAAGGAGGATGCCAAGTTTAAAGAACTTATCAAGGTGAGGAAGACATCTATGCAGAGATTTTGCCTTCTTTTGATGTCATTTACCTTAAGATGAAAGTCCTTTGATGTTGCATTTGGGGTGGCATGGAAAAATGACTGCTAGGCCTCCCTGGAAAATACATTTGTTGCAGGAGAAGCCACTACAAAGTAATCTATTTTAGACGGTAAAATCCATTTCTTGTCCACATTTTTATCCAAGAAGGATCTTAGTAGGTTACATTAAATAGAAAAAAAAGAAAATCCATGAGCGTGCCTCAAAAGAGTGGACAATATGACTTAAAACCCCAGAGGAAAGAAATCCTTGAATCAAAAACTTAAGATAAAAATATTATCTTGATTTGACATATTAGTATTTTCACAAACGCCCCCCTTATTATTTCTCCACCCTTGTCTTAATTTTGGGAAGTGATGAGATGTGACAGAGCTTCACTTTATTTCTCTGTGGAGAGGTTTAGGAAATTGAATTGTGGTAGAAGAAAAAGGGATGCGGTGACTCAGCGGCTAAGATGCTGAGCTTGTCAATTAGAAAGGTCGGCCGTTCGGCGGTTCAAATCCCTAGTG